CGTCCCAGCAGCCCCAGCAGCTCCCGGCGGAAGCGCCCCCCCAGGAAGGCGTAGAGGGCGGGGTTGAGGCCGCAGTGGGCCAGGCCCAGAATGTGGGTGGCCCCCAGGGTCCGGGCCAATCGGCTGAGCTGGGGGCAGCCCCACTGGGGCAGGATCCCCAGCTCCTGCAGGGTCCTTAATAGCAGCGCCAGGTGGGGCGCTTTTATGGGATATGGAGGATAATATATAGAGTATTATATATAGGGTATAAACAGGCCAGGTGGTGGGGAAGCCAACACACCAGGAACGCCGTCGGGATGGGGACGTTTTTATGGAATAGAGAGGATATACAAGATGTCATCCCAGTAATACTGTAAGAAGAAGACGTTTTCATGGAATATAGAGGATATACGGGACTTTTTTGGTCAGTTTAAACGTTTTTTTTTAATCGTTTCTCCAACGTTAGGGACAAAACCAAGAAGAAATCTTCCATATAAGGTGATTTTTATGGAATATAGAGTATAAACGGGACGTTTTTGGTCAAATTAAAGGTGTGTTTTTAGTAGCTTCTCTAACTTGAGAGACAAAAAATGAAAAAAATTGCCATTTACAGTGATTTTTATTGAAAATGGAGTATGAACAGGACCTTTTTGGTCAGATTAAAGGTGTTTTTTAATCGTTTCTCCAACATTAGGGACAAAACCAAGAAGAAATGTTCCATTTACAGTGATTTTTATGTAAAATAGACCAGAAACGGGATGTTTTTGGGCAAGTTAAAGGTGTTTTCTTGCACTATAAACCGGGTAAATGCGGGTTTCATTAGCGCAGGGTGCTGTGGGAGGTCCTGGTTGCTGAGGTTGAAGCCCTCCGGACCCCCCAAATCCGTCCCAGCAGCCCCAGCAGCTCCCGGCGGAAGCGCCCCCCCAGGAAGGCGTAGAGGGCGGGGTTGAGGCCGCAGTGGGCCAGGCCCAGGATGTGGGTGGCCCCCAGGGCCCGGGCCAATCGGCTGAGCTGGGGGCAGCCCCACTGGGGCAGGATCCCCAGCTCCTGCAGGGTCCTTAACAGCAGCGCCAGGTGGTGGGGAAGCCAGCACACCAGGAAAGCCGCCGTTAGCAGGAACGCTAGCCGCACGGCGCCCGCACGGCGCCGGTGGCGCCCGCCGGAAAGGTGCACGGCGAGCGCGGAGTAGCAGAACAACATGGCCGCCAGGCAGGAGAAGAAGCACACGTGGTGGAGCAGCCTCCGCGCCAGAAGCCAGTCGTGGGCCAGACGCCCGAACCGGAACAGGTCGCACTCCGGGGGGGAGCCGTCTGTAAGGAGGTGGAAGTG